GTCCAACACTTGCTGAAGTGTTGGACTGTACAGATCAGGCACGCTTAGCACAGCATGTCAAGTCCAAGACTCGACAACAAAACAAGTTTAACTTACTAATAACTCATCAACACCATCACTATTCCAATAACAACACATTCAGTGGAAGGCAACAATTCCGTCAGAGAAAACAATGTGACACAATACCTGTTACTGCAAAAGGCCAACAAGATGATGCGTTCATGGAATCTCCATTGCACAAAGAGCTAAATATTTCAAAAAGCTGAAGTTGCACCAACACCAAAAGTCATAACACAATTGTCCTGAAGGGAGTTTTTCTTTCCACTATCTCCACTGTGCTTGCTCAGGATGGGAGACTGCAACGAAGCCAAGATTCATCTTGTCTGCTGGATTCCTTAGATAGAGAACTTTACTAATTGGCTTTTATGTGAATGTTCCTGTAAAGTGTCCTGAGACAACTTTGTTGTGATTTTGCCCTTTATAAATGAACTGAATTGAATTGAATTGAAAGAGCTGAACATATTTATATATGATTTGTTGAAATAGCTTGAAAACAGCAGGATGAGAATTGCGCCGATAAACTTGCAGAAGAAAAATGGGGGACCATAGTGTGAATGCTTCATAAACATTCACATAATAATCTGTTGTGAAATTGTTCTGTTTGACCTTCATCCTTCCACTGATAGTATGTCTTATCGTGAAAATAACTGACCTTCTCCTTTTTTTAATTCACTCCCTCTCCTGCTTCTGGTTTTCATTCCAGGCGTTGTTGGTTCTGCATCAGCCTGAGAATATACAGTTGTGGAATCCTCATGCTCCCATCGAGACGTTTTGGGACATCAGGTACGGAGCAGTCTGGGATTAGCTGGGATCAAATGCCTGAGTGTGTTCATCTTCTTGGAGCTACAGCAGTTAATGTTTTTTTCTCATTAGTATCAGGTTCAAGGTGACTATTGTAATTCGCATCACATGTACATGAGGTGGAACAAAATTGTGTATTCAAGGTCCCAGTTACACCCAAAAATAGCCAAATATAAAGTATAAAAAACCCTGTATACAAGGATCTAAGATATCTGCTAAACAATAATAATGTAAAATAATATGTTGTATTAACCAACAGCCTGAACATGAGTCTCTTGTGAGCAGATGGGTATGAATATAGCAGCTTAAGGTAAGAAATCAGCTGCATGGAAAATCAACAGCAGAGATAAAGTGATAAATCTCCAATTAAAGTAGCATTACAGTGATTATTCTAGTTAGAGATTCATGAGTCTAACAGCCTCAGGGTAGAAGCTGTTCCTCAGTCTAGTGGTTCTACACTTAATGCTCCT